TACGTATTGTACAGGCGTTGGATTGAATTGACTTTACAAAATGTGAGGACCGCACTTTATGATATCCAGATAAAGTCAAGGAACAATAATCCAGATCTTGCCGGCCCACTTTTTGGTCAATTTTCTTATAACCCTCCCTCTTAAGTATTAAAGGAAATATGTGGAGTACATGCAGAGAAGCAATTTGGATGGTTATTTTAATTAACTTACATTCTTTATAATACAAGAGATAATAACTTAAATGAAGCAGCAAAACAAACATTGTTGTTAAAAAACATTTATTATTAATAAAAAATTAAGAAAGGGAATGTCAATAGGAATTCATTAAAATGATTGGAATATTCATTCTTTTTTAATCTAACAATCATTATTTACATATTTGCACAACAAAAAATCAAATACAAACTAAGTTTGTCTTTATGGCTTAACAAACCGGCTCGAAAATAGATTTAAAACAAATTAATCTTGAAATATACTTCGGGTTTTCAAGGGGAACTTAGGAACGACTAATAATACTAATACTTTTCTTATTAAAAAAAATTGTCAGAGCGAAAAAAACTTTTTTGTAATGTTTTAAGAGAGAAGGTTAAAAAATCGACCATAATGTGTCCCGGCAAGATAAGGATTATTATTATTGGACCTCTTCTCGGCGTATTTACATACCTTTGACAAACTTTTAAACTTTTCATGACTTACTGAGATATTTGGGAAAAACTAAAATTTGACCAAATCGTTATTTTTTCTGACTTTATTTTAAGAGATATCAAAAAACCAATTCAACTTTTTGGCACTACATGATGGTATTCTTGAATTTTGTGTCGGACCATATTATTTTTGAAGGGAAATTAAAATCTTCACACGTTCGTGTGTACCTCTCACAAAAATGCTGGCGCCGCTTGCTATCACCTGGGCTAAGTCCTTGGTAAATCAAGAATTTATAGGAGGGTGATATCTATGTTTACGCAAAATAAATTGGGCTGAGAATTTTGCTACTCCCACATTTTTCTCAATTTGCCTAGGTGATATCTTAGAGTTCTCAGCAACTGCTCGTAAAACACTATTCTGAGTTTCCTCTAAAGATTCCTCTTTTCGATACATATCAGACATTTTGTATGAACCATATACATTGCGTGCCAACTCTAAGAAAATGGACTTACTTAGCTGCCTTCTGTCGGGAAATGCATCAAGATACATTTCTGCAGTAGTTTTAGTATTGTAGTGGGACAAAATAATAATATAATACTCGTTAAATGATATTTACAAGTCAAGCATTTATTTGCCACGCCTACTTAAAAAAAAATCAGAAGAAACGTGTTTTTCCTTATAACCAAGAGAATAAATGTAACATGTGATACTTCGTTGAATTCATAAAAAATGCTATCAGATACAGGATGTACTTTTTTCGGACCCTATAAAAAGTTGATGATGGTTTTTTACAAACGAACCGTCGGGCATCAAGTTTAAAAACACCATCATGTAGTGCCTAAAAAGCGCCAATAGAAAAATTTCATTAGTTTTTTGATATTTCTTGAAATTAAAAAATAATGATTCAGCGGAATATTAGTTTTTCCCAAATATCTCAGTAAGCCATGAAATTTGTAAAAAATTCTCAACGGCATGTAAATACGCTCCAAAGAACGCAGCATTTACCTAATTCAATCTAAACTGTATGACTCACAGGTATTAAGGTCCTAATTTTGGACACCATGTATGCGCTACGTTAGTGTTTGGTTTGGGAAAAGGCCATCCTATCGACCAATTTTTTTTTGTCTATACATTCTAGACCACTAAAAACGTACGTTCATGTCCGCATTACTGGTTATGCATCAACATACTGTGAAAATTTTGAGAAAATCTCAAATTTACAGTATGCGCAAATAAAAAAAGTGGATCATTAGAATGACAGTTTCGTGATCTTTCCAAAAATGTATAAAAGACCTTCAGAATTTCAAATATATAAGGTGTTGTTTCTGATTAGAACGAATTTCTGTTTCTGTTATCACAGTCGATTAGAAAATATAACCTGAGTACGTAAACCAAGTTCCAAAGAAATATAAAATAAATACAATAGGTGGTTGAAAAACTGCGAGTCTATAAAAAGATGCCCAAAATCGATAACATCCTGTATCTCGTTTAAAAAGTCCCAAAAACCATAGGTTATCTATAATCCCCTAAAACGAAAGTGGTAGCAAACTAGCCCCTTCTGAAAAAAATGTTAACTTCGTAGTTGTATAACAAAAACGAAAATATATTAAGCATATGCAAAGAGTTCAAATGGAATCAAACCATGGCTAAAATTGTTCGCGTATGCAAAGATTCTTTCCGCGTGCTTTTTTGCTTGCTCCCTCACCATAATTGTAAATATGTAATATGAAAATAAATTATGTCTGTTTCAATAGTAAATGTCAATTGGCAAGGGAAATTGAAAATCTCATCAGGTAGGTTGACTCTGCACTTGCCACGCAACGTCGACATCCGTTCATAAAGGATTATGTTCAGCACATGTTAGACCCTCTAAGGAAAAAGTTGTCAGTGAAACCTGCCCATACAATTAGTCCATACAGATTACCACGCTGCCCTATCGGTAGTACCCTCCACTAGACAACGTCGCTCCTTCCTTACGTTACCTGACCGCAGGACTCGTCAACCTCTGCAGGGCGGCACCGCATCGAACATATTCCTCTATCATTCCAAGTTTCAAGGGAAAATGTGTGGGGAAATCTATGATGTGTGTAATATGCCTAGCAAGTGCGAATAATTACCGGAACATCAAAAAAATTAGATATACCCTCCCCCCACCCCATACAATTGTTAAAATCAATTTTTAAGTCCTACAAAAATTCTCTGAAAATATAACTTTTGAAATTTGAAATTGAGTATTTCACAGAGATATCTACAAAAATTTCTTTACGAGCGCTTTACATTGTTTTCGAAGCCCCAGTGATGATATCACAAATTGAAGCACACGTTATATCATAATTTTGAGATCTATATATTTATTTACTTAAAGCTGACAGCCTTTGGTCGAATAATTCCATCACTATTTTATATACAGGGTGGCGCATCGAAAACGAAACAGACGCATTTACTGGCAGCTCAGTTTTTTTTGTGAAAACGCTCAGACCCGTCGATTTTGTTTTCGAGGGGGACACAAGTTTGGCAAAAAATCACGTTAACACGTGCAGCGGGGGTGACACCAACTCTAAAATCTTAAATGGAAAGGGGGTCGACTGATACTTATTTTAAAGGTCTTTCAATTCCCTTTATAATGATGTAAAATACATGAGCTTCAGTTCAGTAGTTTTGAAGATTTATTGATTTAAAGCTTAAATAAAACTAATACATCATCATTAGTGGAGATCAATACATTTGGCAGCAAAGTAATTTAACAATGAAGAATGAACTGACCCGATAGGCAAGTAAATGTTGAAAATGGCCATCAGGACTCTCCATGCAATAATAAAGATTTTGCTCAAAACGTTGCCGCACATTTTGCAATATTTGAGGAGTAATTTGAAGGCACTCATTCACAATTCTTTGTCGCAGGTCTTCTAATGATGTTGGCTGAGTAGCATAGATTTTGCCTTTTAAATGACCCCACATAAAGAAATCCAAAGGTGATAAATCTGGCGACCTTGGGGGCCACTCAATGGCACCTCCTCTACCAATCCATCGATCTGAAAACGTCTGATCTAAATATTGTCGAACACGTAATGCGTAATGTGGTGGGGCACCATCCTGTTGGAACATCAACCTATTCGCAATGTACCGCCGATCATTCTGATTTTCAATTACGGCTGTTAATGCAGGATCTATGGCGTCTTCCACTAATTCCAAATACATTTCACCGGTCAAATTTCCAGGTAAGAAAAAAGGACCAACTAAATGATCGCCAAAAATACTAGCCCAAACATTTAATTTTTGTGGCTGCTGTGTATGAACCTCATGATAAATTCTGGGATTAGAATCGGACCAATATCGGCAGTTATGACGATTTACTACGCCATTTAAGAAAAAGGAACATTCGTCGGAAAAGCAAGTGTTGATTAGAAAATGTTTATCGTTTATAATTCGTTCACTCATATCTTCACCAAATTGTAATCGTCGATCAAAATCGTCTTAAGTTCTTGTACCAGGTAAATTTTATACGGATGAAAACTAGGGGCCTTCAGAATCCGTTGGACAGTACGTCGACTAACACCACACACAGTCTCCAATGTGCGGGTACTTAACGTAGGATCTACATAAACTTGCCCTAAAACCTCCACTTCTATTGCTTCGTTCCTTATAGGATTTTCAATGTTGCGTTTTTTATTGGCGACTGACCCAGTTTCCCGAAATTTAGCTACAAGTTCTAGAACATATTTTCGATGCACGTTACTGTTCTCATGTTGCTCATTAAATATTTCTGCTGTTCTATTAGCGCACTGATTTATTTCCGAAAAATATTTCGATAATTTCAACTCTTTCTGCTGTGGAATATACCATGGTTAATTTATGTAATAAATCGTTAGACGTTATTTTAGAAACAAAGTTTGGTCAAATCAATCGCAAACTAGGTACTAAATTTCTATTTAAAATAAGTACGAGATATTTCCTTATCTTTCTTCAAGAAATAACATTTTTGCCACAAAAAAACGCTCCATTAGCTATTTTCAACAACAAAATGATAAACAAACCATGGGCGTAGTGAAGAAAAGCATTTACTTATTAAGTAAATTCTTTTAGTCAAATTTCTTCTGAAAGTAGTACAAACCTTTAAAATAAGGTATCACTCGACCCCCCTTTCCATTTAAGATTTTAGGGTTGGTGTCACCCCCGCCCAGGGGGCTGCACGTGTTAACGTGATTTTTTGCCAAACTTGTGTCCCCCTCGAAAACAAAATCGACGGGTCTGAGCGTTTTCACAAAAAAAACTGAGCTGCCAGTAAATGCGTCTGTTTCGTTTTCGATGCGCCACCCTGTATATGCCAAAAATTATTATCAAAGCTAAAAAATTACCTTTTTGGTCTTATTTTTTCAGTAACTACTTTGTACCCAAACTGTTTAAACATCTCCTTCATACTCGCTTGATCATACTCGGCACCTTTTCTATCTTCCTTGATGTTAATAAACTTCATATTGTTGATAATCAACACTTTTCCTCGTGGCTTTCCCTTGAATGTGTAGGTCGGTATGTTTGAATGGACATCCGGTAAACTTGAAGCCTTGTATGGAGACGCTGATTGGGCGGTGAGCTTCATACTTGTTGAAGAAGAAGAAGGAGCGTTTCCTGTCAGGCTTAAGGATGATAGAGTTGCTGTAGGAGGCGGTGTAATTGTGGACGTACTGGTCACGCGGAGACTCTGGTAAGGGCCAGTTCTCCGTGGAAAAGGACTTTGATAATTTGGAGCATAAGGTTTGGCATCTATAGATAACGTCGGTGTCTTGGATAATGCAGTACGAGTATAAGAAGAAGACGCTGCAGAAGGATAGCTGAACTTTCCTAGAAAACGAAAAATTGTACTCTTAATATGGATGATGATGGATCATGTTTGAGAAAAACACAGTCATTCTAATTACAAATCTGTAAATTGATAGGAACGGCATTGAAACAATGATCGTTGCCGAGGGTGACTTAGAAGTTGAGTCATTTATTTTAACAGTGAGTAGATCTGATCAAAAGAAATGTTTTTTTCCTTTACCATTTTTCTGGTAAAATTAAAGTAACAAAGTTATAGCCCTTTGGAAGTTTGAGTACCGCCCTGTCTCAATAATAATAATATTATGTGCTCGTGTTTGGTTCATCGCATCGGAAACAAAAAAGCGAAAGAATTTGGAACGATGTTTTTACAATTATTTTAGTCAGTTGTATACAGTCAGTGTCAGTCGGTAACGCGTTTGAATAGTGGTGTCTGTTGCGTGGCTCAAACGAAATAAAAAATGGCACATGTTTATGCGGATCGGTTTCCCAATCGAGTGCAACCAACCCCTCGTACCTTTGTTAATGTAGTACAACGGGCTCGTGAATCAGGTGACTTAAGACCACACAGGGGACTGCATGCCGGTGCTCCAAGACCTCACGATCAAATACAGGTCCGCACTGAAATACTTGTCGGGAGGATACTTTATAAAACAAGGTAAAAAATTTTTTTTAATTTTTTTAATTTTTCACACATATTTTGGTTTATCTTCCCTCTACAATCATTATCTGAAAATTAATGACTCAACTTCAAAATCACCCTGTATATCATCTTGAGCCATTTTATTACAAAATGAGAAATATTACTTCAGAGCTATACCCCATTCGTAGTCCATTTACGCCCAGGGAAAACATGCCCAAAATATATTAACCTGTAGTAATAAATATATATTAATTATTACAGGTATCCTTAAAACGTTAGAGTATTCGAGTGGACTGTATAGCGGCTGGTTCAAGAATGAAATGTGGTTGTCGCCTACCTTTGATCCGTTATTCTGTCTAATTCTGGTTCGTATTCCTGGCGTAGAGGTGATGCAGGAGCGTGAAGATTGCGGGTGTGGGAGCGGTTCTGACTCTATGCGGTTGCTGCGTATATGCGATTTCTGACTATATGCGTTTGCTGCGTAGACACGTGGTCTCACTGTATGCGGTTGCGGCGTATATATGTTCTCACGGTATGCGGGTTGCGGAGTATCTTCGTGGTCTCACTGTGTGCGGTTGCGGCGTATCTGCGTGGTCTCACTGTGAGCTAGTATCTCTCTTCTTTTTATTGTCCTAGCAGCGCACGCGCGCGGGGTAGGCAAGCGACAACTCAGACTCGCCTTAAAATAAAGCCAGCCCAAATATCCCTAACAGGTCTTATTTTGGTTTTTAGCCTTTTCGTCAATAACATTAAGATTAGATTTTATATTTGTACTGCCTTACTAGATTAATAAGTTCTGCTTTGACCATATTTTTATTGAAACTAATGTCTTTTGATAGTAGCCATTGTTGAATTTCTGCCTTTCTTGTGAACATTGTGGGAATTTTTTCTAATTTCCTAGTGTGGTATGCAGCATTATCAAGTACAAACACCGCATTGTCATCAAGCTTGTGAGCGTTTCTTCAACCCATCGTTCAAATGAACTCCCGTCGATTTCTTCATGGTAGACGGTCGTTTTCTTTGAATCAAAAGTCCGTAGGCAGTAGGCACAAAGCCATTCTCACTGCCAATGTGACAGACAACACATCGTTTTCCTCTTCCTGGAAATAATTATTTCATATAATATTCAAAAAAACTAATAATAATACAATCAGAGTATCTAATAGGTGTTGGTTGCAAATCTACCACATATAGCTAAGTTTGATGTAGCTAAGTTTTCAGCGTGGGTTCATAGATTCAGTCTAAATGACACCATTTTTACAACACAAATGACGAATTGGTTAGATACACGTACCTGACGAATTCTTTAGGCCAGTGGTTAGTTCATCCAAGAAGGCTTGTCATGCTGATTTAATTGTAGAGTCAGCCCATACTTTAGGTTTTGAATGTCTTGCATTTAGCCAGGTTTCATCCAAGTAATAAATCTTCCTGCTCTGGTCGCGGTATTTCTTTATTGATTTTGAATAAGTACTTCTCCATAAAATAAGTCTTGGCTGTCCATCAAAATACTATTTCTGCCCCGTTTTATATACTCAAAATGAAGTTCTTTGAGTAAACTATAGAATGTTGTCCTTTTCAAAGTAGGTAAGTCATCACGTTTAACCTCTTGCAATACTTCGTCTATGGCGGGAAGCTCATGCCTTTCAAAAAATCGATGGACTTTGCGTCTGATGACATTCCGATCAAAGTTAACAACTGTATCCAACAGCTTCGTGTAATGCAGCCTCTTCTTTGGTGGATACAATTTTTTGTTTTTTTTATATTCTTTAACAATGTTGAAAATTGTCTTAGGATAAAGCCTGTTTTGTTCGCCACATGTCTTTCAATATCATGAATTTTCATTTCAGGATGCTCTAAAATTTGGCTCTTATAAACGTTAAGGACAATTTCTTTTACCTGACTATTCAAATGTCCCTTCTTGTCACTTTTTCGGGGAGGAGGCATCACTGAAGAGGAAGCCTGGCTGAAGGAAGCATAGGGAGAAATATTTTCAGTTTCATCTGCTGTATCCGTAGACGACACGCTAACGTAGGTATAAACATATATGCACCAAATATGAACAGCAACTGCCGGCGTCGGCGTGCCGGCGATACATCGAGCCTGAGTTCTATCCTGCCGAATCCTGCACTTGTTCGTAGATTTATGACCGAATGACCAAAAGCTATTGCAACGCTTAGGCAGCTGCCGCTTTACCGCGCTGCATCTTTGTTGTGTCGTGGCGTAAATGGACTACGTTCTTGGCTATCTAAATGAGTTGTTTTGCATGTGCACTACCAAGTGAGGCTTCGATTGATTACCGTGCTATTAAACAACCTTTGATTTTTGAATTATAGTCTTTAAAAGATATTAAAAAATTATTTCCATTGGCGTCCTTTAGGGGGCTGTATCTCAGTAGAGAAGCTCTGTAGGCCATTTTATAGGAATTTGATACATTATTTTTTGGGTTCTATTTATGGAGCAGATAGATTGACCTAAGCATAGCCATGCGTGTTCTACGATACACTGTAATTTGACCATAATAATAATTACAAATAAGTGAAAATTATATTGTTTTACTTACTTTCGCTCAGATTTCTTGTAGTTGATGTCTCTATATGATGACGCTGATGTAGTGTTGCACCCGCTCTACTATAAAATACAATAAAAACTGTAGCTAGATATATGGTGTTACTAAAGTACCTGATTGAACTGCAATGGGTGATACTTTCGCCGATTCTAGCAAGATACAAGTGGTAAGTTTGCATCTGGTGAGACTGTTTAAGCATAAACACATTCAAAAAAATTATGCTGAAGTGAATTGTTTCTTAATATACTACGTAACATTTTCAGTGTCACACTTCACAAAGGTAACAGTAAATAGTAATTTCAATGAAATATTTTGTGAACGTAGCGCCCATAATACATAGCAGCTCTTTGTTGGAACTGTAAATACCTCAGTTCGCGTTTAATAGCCCAGTCACTATATGACCGCTAGATGGCTGACGACTCTGGCTGTAAAGTCGATCTAGTCTACTTGCCATTGAACAAACTAAATATAAGGCTTTCGTCCGTCCATCCAAATCACAGCCAACCATATAGATAGCTATTTGTTTCTTTTTGGCTACTCATCAACGTGGTCTAGGCTTTGTCTCTCATCTCTGGGACAACGAAAGAAAGTATCGCAACTATCCGCTATCCAGAAGGTACGGTGATAGATGGCGCTTTGCTCTGACTCATTTCGATAGACTGTGCCTTCTGGATAGATACTTGCGATACTTTCGTTTGGGCAGCTCTTCTGCACTGCATATCCTTCTGGGACAGTTGAAGAGCGGATTTGGGATATGTTTAGGGGGGAGCGCACGTCTTCACAATTCATGTCTAGCAAGAGGTAATATTCGCACCAAGATACAGCAATATGTACCATTTCATTGAGAATTGAATGGCAGGTCTGGGCATCTAGGAGGGTGCTCCTCTCTAAAGCCGCCAAAGCTCTGGAAATATAATTTGTTAATTTTGATTTCAGAATCATAATTTCAACCTCCTGTCCCAAAGTAAGGGTGCAGTTTAGGACTTTCCGACTTCACATAGGGAATTATCCCCGGAAAATTGGCCACATACTTTATTAACACCCTGTATACCATAAAGTACCTACCTAATAGGTACAAAGCGTGAATAACAATCACCTATGAAACTCTCACTGTCAATAACGGCCGCCGTTTCGGCGAAGAAAGTCGAAGTCCCCAGTACAACGATGAAAGAGGTTTTAGTGCTCAGCCAGCAGCCGGTGTTGACAGGAACCCTGCCAGCGGCCGCAGATATTATTTGCAATTGTAACAATTATGCTATTCTGATATGATCTGATGTAGTTTGTGTGAACCAATAATAAAAAGGAATATGTTTGGCCAAAAAGAAGCGACGAAGTATTGATGACTATCCCCTACAGAATCCAACCCGTACGTCCTCGAGTTTGTTTTCTGGGGCGGCCTTAGGTGCTGAACTGTGTGCGACCGTGTACTGGGAGCAACGCGGTGCGGCTTTTTCGGTGGGTCGTCTCGACTAGTTCTGAGTAGACCCGCCGTAAAGCTGACAACTAGTCAGATGATTCGTTGGGTCACAGGTATCCTGGATGTATATCTGGGATGCATGCAGCGCAACGGACATCGTGGGCAATGGTATACTACCCAACCCAAGGTGTTAAGCGGTTGCGGGCCGAGGGGTGCGTGGCGGTGGGGATGCACCGTCTTAAACGGAGCCTCTGGGATACCGGGCGACCTTCCAGAGTATCCAGCCTTGCGTCCATGCAGGGGCACCGCGGACCTCGACCACCACGTCCCCTGTACTCGTGGGAACAGTATGGAAAAATACTCGGCCAGGTCCCGAAAAGAAACGGGCGAGGAAGCGGAAAGAAGCGCGGATGGCGAAAGGTCGAGGCACCACTTCTGTGACTCTGGCTGTTCGGGTCCCACCGGTGTGCCAGCGGAGGCCCTAAAGCGGCCTGGAGACAGGAAGCGGCAGAGGTCTGCCGGTTAGACACCGGATAGTGCATGCGTTGCTGTACGTGGCTTCTTCCCCTAGGATCTATATATATTATATATTAGCTGTGCGCGTGCGTCCTAAGCGGATCTCAGAGTGGCTACCGTGCCCGATGGTTATCCTGGGACCCAATTCACCGATCACCGAGGCACAGGTGCTGCAGGTCTAGAAGGCGATCAGTGTGCTGATAGATGGGCTCCCAGATGAGGGAGCTCTTCCTAAGTACATTGTGTTGACTCATCTAGGGCATGGTTGGAGGGGATCTGCGGCCGCGGGAAGGTGCAAGGCTCATTACGATGAGTTTTGGTGACCTTCCTGTCTACCACCGCGTGGTTCCCGGGTTCCAACCTTGGAAATGAGGTCATCATGAGAAGACTCAGGAGGCACAATCCTGGAACTTTCCCGGCCCGTGAGGGCTACTGGAGAGGAAGGAGGAACCCAAAGGGTTCGACTTGTTCTCTCAGTGGATTACATAAGCTGGAAGATTATTAAGGGCAACGGCAACAGGCTGTGCTGCGGTGGAACCTCGAGGGTGTTTACACTCCTGAGAAGAAAAAGCCAGACATCGGGGCGACACCTGCCGGAACTGACCTGGCTCCAATCCAGGGGTCGGACCAGTCTGGACCGACGGGAGCTGTGTTGGTAGACCAGGCTCCTTCACAGAGGACGGGTCAGCCGGGGCAACTCTCGCTGGAACCTCCGGAGGCCACGGACGAGGAGACGGCTTTCATCTTTTGTGCTTAAGACATTGGAAAGGATAGTTGATAGATTCTTGGGGGATAGCTCGTTGGAAAGGTGTGTCATTCATTCCAATCAGTTTGCATACCAAGCTGGAAAATTGTCTGATCTGATCTTATACAATCTGATTGGCTGGCTGGAGAAGACTCCAGATCAGCGAGAAGTGACACTCGTGGCCTTTTTGGACATTAATTGCACAAGAACCGGCTATATCAGACATGCCTTGGTTAGGCACGGGGTTGGATCAATCCTAGTAGATTGGGTCCTATCTACTCTGAATGGTCGAGTAACAACAGCTATGCTGAATGACGTAAGCTGCAGCGGCAGCGTAGCTAGAGGCTGCCCACAGGGCGGAGTTCTGTCACCCCTACTTTGGTGCCTCGTGGTGAACTCCTCGTTAGGCTCACCAATGCGGGTGTCTACGTGCAAGCCTATGCTGACGATTTAAGCATAGTAGTTAGGGATCGTTTTTGTAGAACAGTCTCTGAAATTATGCAAGGCACTCTGCGCTCTGTGGAATCGTGGTGTATTAAAGTCGATCTTTCTGTCAATGCCGAGCTGATCATATTAACTAAGAGAAGAAGGCTTGGCGGGCTTATCTTGCCGACCTTCTTTGGGACTAGATTAGTTCTATCCCAATCAGTAAAATATTTAGGAATTATCGTGAACTGCAAACTGAACTAGAGAAGTTAACAAGGCTTGCAATTCAATGTGAGCCTGTAGACGTGTTGTCGGTCCAAGGTGAGTGCTTAGACTCAAAGTGGTACACTGGCTCTACACGACGATAGTACGACCATCTCTCTTGTACGGCTCTCTGGTCTGGTGGCCTTGCATTGGAACTGAGACAACTAAGCCCAAACTGAATAAAATTCAGCGTTTGGCCTCTATTAACATTACAAGTGCGGTGCGAACAATGCCATTGAGTCCAATGAAAGCTCTGCTGGATCTCCCACCGTTGGATCTAGTGATCCGCGGTGAAGCGAGAGTAGTGGCTCATCGACTGTGGAGTCAGGGCAGCTGGGCCTTCTTAAATCCTGTCAAGGAGCATACTGCCATCTTAGTCGAACTGCAAAGGGAGTCATCGAAGAGGGCTCTGGCGCTGGGGTCTCTGGGCCTAGAACTCGGCTATCTTTGCCCCGTGGCGGAAATCTTTGCGATTCTGGCTTGTGTATCTCGCATTCTGGAGGGGTGTGGGCTTTGTAGGAGAATAACAATCTTATCCGACAGCCAGGCTGCGATGAAGGCACTAAGGTCCGTATCGTCAGTCGTCCCTATAATTGTAGGGCGCGTTTATGGCCTCCTTGATTGTCATACTCTTCTCTCTCCTTCAAAAATTTCTAGATTACACTTGTCCCGTGTCAGCGTCAGCGCTCTCCTATTGTGAAGATATGTTTTCTTTTTAAATTGTAGGAAATTTCAGGCTGATAAAACATGATATAACTCAAAAGCAAGCACAATTTGATGCAAATAGATGTTTGTGACATAACCTCAAAATAGAGCGCTGACACGGAGAAGTAGAAAACTATGACAATCAAGGAGGCCATAAAGGCGCCCTACAATTGTAGGGACGACTGACTATACGGGCCTAAGTGTCTCTAAGATTACTTCGAGCCTTATATTGCAGCCCAGGGAGACTCTGGATTGTCTCGTAGCGAGGCATCTGGTATCGTTAATGTGGGTACCGGAGCAAGGTGGGATGAGGGGCAATGAGACGGCGGACGCTCTGGCGAAGACAGGATCAGCCAGCAAGCTCGTTGGTCCTGAGCCAGCTCTAGTAGTTCCCGCGCAAAGAGTTAGGAGAAAAATGGAGTGGATCGCAAGACAACACTCTCAGAAATAGAGAAGTATCTCCAGACATCTCCGTCGGGCACGGGAACTCATTGTAGGGCCCAGCGCTAAGGATGGACGTTTCTGCTTATCTCTAGACAGAGCCAACCTAAGGTTGCTGGTGGGACTGTTGTCTTGCCATAACACGTTACGGCGCCACCTGTATGTGATGGGGGTGGCTGAGGATCCCTTATGTGAGCGCTGCGGAGTAGAGGAAGAGAACTCGGCTCACGTTCTGTGTCGTTGTGAAACTTGAGCTACTATAGGCAGACTATGCTGGGGTCCATTACTTTCGACCCTCAGGACGTCAAGGAGATTGGACTCAATGCCATACTCAACTTCGCTAGAAAGGCAAGGCTTGAGGTCTAAGGAATGCAGAGGTGCATAAGGGCCCGTTTAAGCGGCCTGTGCGCTGGCTCATTATAATGGTCGGAATGCCTCTAATTTCACAATTCATTCATTCATTCATTCGTTCATTGAAGGCTATTTATGAAAAGGTTTTAAAATAAATTCGTAATTGTGGAAGTATTTACAATAGACAGAAAAATATTTTGCCATGCACTCTTTGCTGCTGCGGTATTCTCAGTCCATTCGATTTTCAAAGTAA